TAGATAGATAGATAGATAGATAGATAGATAGATAGATAGATAGATAGATAGATAGATAGATAGATAGATAGATAGATGACAGATAGATGATAGATCAGACAGACAGACAAATATATAAATATTTCAGAAGATGCTGTTGAAAAGGTACTACACAACCTAAAACCATCTTTATCTCTTGGCCCTGATGGATTAGGTGCCTACTTCTTAAAAAAGCTCTCAACCACCATAGCAGAAGCTCTTAGCATAATCTATGAAATGTCCTTCAGAACCAGCTCCTTGCCTCACTTATGTCTCTAGCCACCGTCATCCCTATCTTCAAAAAGGGTGACCCCAGCCTAGTTGAAAATTACAGACCAATCTCATACATAAAATGTATACGTTTCATGTATTCATAACCGTATGTATACATATATCTGTTGTTTAATTCATGCTTGACGAAATAAATTAAAGAAAGAAAGAAAATAAACCAAAGGTTATTTGGCCTTTGTGAGACAGAACTGTGGTTATTTATGTGGTTTGTTCAGCATCTTGGGTAAATCCAACCCTTTATTATTCAGCATTTGTGGCTTGGCAGAAGGGGAGAATCCAGACCAGCTTTTAAGATGTATTATAGTTAACCAGGCCAGGAATCGGCAAGGGGAAAGATTTTTATTCCCCAAATAGTAGATATTGTTATGAAATGAAAAATGATAAGATTTCTATTATGAAATCTTACGTATGGTGAGATTGGCAAAATGTATAGATATATAAAATAGCTATAATTGTATCAGATTGTAATATTTGACAGACCATGAGCAACCTCGCTTTTCAGAGTTCATTAGGGAACTGTCAAATTTCTGCCGTTCTGTAATTGAGACTTTTAAAAATCTTAATAAGTATTCAAATTCTGTGGCAGCTCTATCATCACCCCAAAACAGATGTAAGATAAAATGCATTGAAAGTGAAATCTCTATATGGCAAGACCAAATGTATTATGTGCATATTTCACACTGATGAATGTTTTATTCCCTCTGCTGTTGCTAACTCTAGCTTCCAGATGAGCCTTAGTTAAGACTATCCTATTTTCTGAAATCAACATTGGGTTTCTTAAATTTATGAAATCAGAAATTGTATCTAAACTGAAGAATGAATTGCTTGCATTACTTTAAGCTGTAAAAAATAAAGTAACGGAAGAAACCTGCTTTTCTTCAAACAAACAACCTGGAATGATTTTACTAATGTAATTGTTTCCAAACCTCTTAAAAATGTGTGAGATCTGAAGACCAATTGCATACTGGAAATTGACTTTTTTTTTCTTTTTAGTTAAAGATTCTACTATGGCTGCTACTGTGAATTTGGAACTTGACCCTGTATTTTTGAAAGCTCTGGGTTTCTTGCATTCAAAGAGCAAAGATTCTGCTGAGAAGTTAAAAGCACTTCTTGATGAATCTTTATCTAGGGGAATTGATTCATGTTATCGTCCACAACAAAAGGTATTTTATTTATGAATAAAAGTATGTGTTGTCTTACATGGCATATATTGTAACAGTAAATGTGACCCATTTTGATTTAGTAGTTAGTTTAGTACTCCCAGACTAGAAACGGGGGACTATTCTAATGCTACTTTAGACAGACACAAAACTAGTTAGATGACTTTGAGTCAGTCATGTACTTTCAGCTGTAGGAAGGAGGAAATGGCAAACCATTCTGAAAATCCTCCAAGAAAACTGCAGAGACTAGTTCAGGAAGTCTCCAGGAATCAATATTGATTCAAAGATGGATAAATAATGTGCCTTGTACTATGCTATGTTTTCTTATCCTACCGACTCTATCCAGAATATACTGTAGCCATGTTAAAAGACCAGGTTTAAGACAAATCATTCGGGGTGGGGTGGGGGGACTATGATAGATTTATTTATTACCTATTTCAGAAGAAGATCTGGTTTACATACCACTTTAGTCCATCAAAAAAAAATAATTTGGCAAGTTCTGTGAACACGGCCATTTTGATTTATTCATATATAGTATATCATCAGCCTTAAGAATCCATGTTTTTATGAGATGTATTTATTATCTCCAGTTTTACTTTTAATGTAACATGTTGTGCATTTTTCAGGAAGTAGATCAGCCCAAAGTATCCATTCCAAAACCAGTTTCTGTTAAGACCACTCCAAGCCTCCCTACAAGTAACAATAATGGGAAACCCATTGTAGTTGAAAAGGTCAAAAAAGAGGTGGAAAAGAGAATTGCGGATAAAGTAAGTTCCCTTGTTACACTTTGAACATTACATCCATTCCTCATTTAGTAACTGAGTTGTATTCCAGCAATCAGGTTGTAAGCAGAATGGTTTTTAAGTGAACATTAGAGAGAGAGAGAAAAAAAATGCTATAAAGATCACTGGTTGCTACCTCCTCATTAATTTAAAGCTCTCTCACACACTTATGCCAGCAGTACACTCACTCTGTTGTTAGGCATCCAAAATTAACTTATTGGCAAGAAAATGATTTTTTATTACTATTGTATTTGCAAATGGTCACTAAATGCAAAATAAAAAGTGGGTATATTGAGGAAAGAGGTTCTAATAAAGTTAAATATTTTTAAAAATAAAAATATTTTTTCAAGCTTTCAATCAGAAGTTTTCAACCACTTTATAATGCACATTTGTGTGCTGCAAAAAGTCCACAAGAGCACTTCAGTGAGCCAAAATATATAACTGGAAATGCTGTGCACTGAGAATCCTGTTCCATGACATTACCTTGATAGACTCTCTTATTTCATAACCTGGAAGTCCCACCTATGAGATACGTGTATGAGATGAAAGAGGCTGAAAACTGCAGTACTGCTCTAAATACATATCTTTGTTTTGCAAGCTATGTTGTTCCCATATGTTACATAACAATAGTTAATTTATTTCAGAAGTATAGAATGTGCTTTCCTCTGCCAGTCATTTAGTTTTAAAAGGGTGCTCTTCTCCTTGTCTATATGTTATTTTGTTCCTTTTCAATGAACAAGAGAACATCTTACTTTATTCAAACTGTTTATTTAGTCTTCCCTTCCAATTTCACTTTGCTATTTTAACAGCAGACTTTCAACTTTATAGCAGACTAATTAAATTAGCTTGTCTTATGGTGGTTTTTTGATTGGGATAGTGTTTGTATTAATCCTGATGCTAATCTCAGTTCAACTGAATGTTGATTGCTGGTGAAAAGCTGCTGTCGTCTTCTAGCTTTTTGACTATCCCTTTTGAATGATGTGTAGATGTAGCTTATCTCCATGTACCTGTTGATGGCTGATTTGTCAAAGTATCAGGCTTCCCAGAATTCTCTAGTGTTTTTACACATAGTGGCTGTTGCAAGCCTTACATGGTATATTGTAAAATGACTTTATTTTCTGGGGCTACTGGGTCTTTTGGATTCAAAGGTATCTATTATTAGTACCATATACATCTTCAGTTTTCCTTATTGATGAGAAGGGCAGCATATAAATTTAATAAATACAAATAAATAATTGTACCCTTTTGTTCCTTTGTTATCAGCAGCTTCTTTTAGCTTATATAAGATACTTTCTCTTCCCCTAAACACAGATAATTACTTGGGACAAGTATGAGACAGAATGTATTAAATATTTATTTGCTCAGAGTTTACATTTTGTTTGTTATGTGAATATCGTTTGTTAGGTAAAAGTGGAAATCAGTGAAGGAATTGACATTCCTTCAAAAAAACCAAGACTAGAAAAGGCAGAAGCTCATGCCTCATCAATTACAGTGCAGACAAGCAAAGATTTGCCCATGGCAGACCTTTCTAGTTTTGAAGAAACTAGTGCTGATGATTTTGCAATGGAGATGGGTCTGGCTTGTGTTGTTTGCAGGTAAGTTTTTTAAATTTAGTACTTATAGCATATATGAAGACCACAATTAAATATTAATTATAAATTGATTTTTTTGTCTAAATAGAGATCTTGACTCTTAAACAATTCTCATAAGTTGCGAGATCTAAATACTCATACAGCACATTTGTTAGAAGATATTCATATTCCATGTCAGTGAGATTATAAATACATTGCTTACCAAAAGGTGAAGTTTATACATAGAAAGGTTTCTAAATCATAACTTGTATTTTAACCTGTCTTCAGGATTTATGACCATTTTAATTGTGTCCACTTGAAAGGCAACTTTAAAAATGGCTTTGAAAGATTTTCTTTATATTCCATTTAATTTTTAAGTTTGTCAAAATTATCCTTTATATTATTTATTTTATTCTCTTCTATTATATTACTGGGAAATAATCATTCTTACTGATTCAATTAATTTTGAAAAAAACTTCAGTTATATTTTGAATCTTAGTTGATGTTCCTAAGACCAATTACTACAGAATCAAAGCTGCTTACTCCTGAGTAAAGTTATGTAGAATCACATACTACGTGGGAGGAATTCTTTTCCTTAATTTGGTTTTTATAGCAGCAAAATGTTCCCCAAACCATCTATACAGTATGCTAACTCTAATTTTCCTATTAAATGTAAAAATCATTTTACCTAGCCTTCTGCAAATAGTTTCCATGGTTATCTATGTACCTGTCCAATGGGGATATATACAAAAGCAATTTATTAATTAAGTAACCTGATTTGTTATCTAAAAATAATAGCCATTAGGGAAATGGTGTTTTGCTAATCTGGTTAAGGTACATTTCCGTTCATATATAGGATTAATACTGTAACATATATATTTCCAGTATTTAATATATATTATTTTCCTACTCATCTACTACATCCTTATCTGATTATCCTTATTCTTATGATTTAAAGACCTAATTTTTCTTCTGATTTAGTAGGCAATTATAAACTATTTATCTTTATAATTGTTTATGTTTACTGTAAGTTGAAAAAATATGGTTTGGACAATGTCATTGTACAATTTAACATTTAGAATTCCCCATTAAATATATGTTGCAATTGGGATTCATTTCCTTTTTGAATTAATCGGGACTTGGAAGAATGCTCACTTTGATTTTGTTGACATTCAGTCATTGACCATTCTGGCTGAGACTACTGGAACATTTAGAGAGCAACAACTTTTTACACATCTGCTTTAAGTTAAAACCTTTGGCTTACAATTTTGTTGATAATTGTTGATTTTGTTTTGTGTGTATCTAAGATAGAAAGAGAAGAGCATATCTTCTCGCTTATCTACCAGGTACCCTGTCTTGTGCCATATATTCCCTTGAAGCTTTCATATATGCTTAAGAGGAAGAAGCTAAGAGTCACTATCAACTATAAGATAGGTGGCATATAAATGTAATAAATAAAATTCCAAAATAGCATGATAAATTTTGGTAACTATAATGTTGCTTTCATCTGTAAATATTAGATTATATCTGACAGGTAATAAACATTATACCCATTGATAAACGTATGGTAGACCATTGGTTGAAAGAACTTGGCCTAGGCTTGCAGGTTTATTATGTGGAATTAGAAAGCACTAATTTGGCCTCCACTGCTCATCCTATACACACCGGTATCTGTCCATCTTTTTCAGTTTCACACTATTGTGATCTTGAGGCTACTTCTAATTCTCTACAGATAAAGCTACAGAATCAAAGAATCATAGAGCTGGAAGCTTGGAGGTCTTCTAGTTCAACTCTCTGCCCAAGGCAGGAGCTCTTATTGTATCCTGGAAAAATGGCTGTCCAATCTTGAAGACCTCCAGCGATGGAGCACTCACAACTCCAGGAGGCAAGCAGTTCCATTAATAAATTATTCTCACTGTCTGGAAATATCTCCTTAATTCCAGATTGTATCCTTCTTTAATGAGCTTCTACCCATTGCTTCTTACCCTGCCCTCAGGTTCTTTGGAGAATAAATCAACCTCCTCCTCCCTGCGACAGTTCCTCAAATATCAAGAGACAGCCATTCCATCACATCTAATATTACTCTTTGTTAGACTAGACATGCCTAGTTCCCTAATTTCCCTTCATATAGTTTAGCCTCTAGACCTCTTATCATACTTGCTGCTTTTCTCTGCACTCTTTCTAGAGTCTCAGCATCTTTTTTGTACTTGGCAACCAGAATTGGTTGCAGTATTCCTAGTGTGGTCTCACTAGTGCAGTATAGAGCAATACTATCACTTTTTTGTAATCTTGATGCTATCCCTCTATACAGACAAAATTGTAAAAATATGATGTTTCAAGACATTGTTTGAAGAAATGATGTTTAATTGACTACTTGTGTTTTATAGACAAATAACAGTAACTTCTGGAAATCCATTAGTGGAATGCCAGGAATGTCATAATTTCTATCACCAAGACTGCCACAAACCTCAAGTGACAGACAAGGAAATGAATGATCCACGGGTTGTGTGGTATTGTGCCCGATGTACCAGGCAACTTAAAAAAATGGTAAGATTTTTTTTGTATATCTGTGAGGAAATATTAATTTACTGTATTTTTTGAAGTATAAGACTCACCAGAGTATAAGACGCACCAAGGTTTTGAAGAGGCAATTCTTTTTTAAAAATTAGGTAGATAGATAGAGGGATGGGGGAGCTTGCAGAGTGCTCCTAGGAGGGTGGGGGCGGGGCAAAAACGAGCAAAAACGGCCCTTTTTTGCAAAAACAGGCCCGTTTTTTTTCCAAAAATGTTGCATGCATAGCCTTATGGAGGCTTATAGAGTGCTGCTGGGGAGGGGGGGCAAAAGCAGTCTGTTTTTTGCTTATTTCTCTCTTCCCCAGCCCCCAGGAGCTCTCTGAAAGCCTCCATAAGGCTATGCACAACCATTTTGGTGAAGGGGCGGGGCTTCAGGAGGCAAAAAGTGCTGTATTCAATGTATAAGACGCACCCAGATTTTCAGCCTTTTTTGAGGAAAAAAGGTGCGTCATATACTCTGAAAAATATGGTAACCATTTAAGGAAGTGATTCCTTAATTGACTAGAAAATGAAGATTAGAAAGAAGAAGAGTTTGCTTTAATGAATTAGGCTGATAGCTATAGGATTCTTTTTTCCTAATGTTTATTATAAAATTAAACAATATCCTTAAAATGTTTTGAATTATGCTGTTGTGTTTTTAAGCTGCTGTTGTTTTGATTTTAATAGTTTAATGCCACCTTTACAAAAATAGTCACAGCAATAATATTTTTTTAAAAAATAATTAAAGTGATAATTACACTGGAAAAAATAATTCAGCTGAAAAAGTTTATGCTAAATCCGATTCACCAGCCCATGTTCTTAAAACCAGTAATGATGATGATTTCATAAACTACTTTAATAAAAGACTGATTTTTATTAGATCAGATTAAGAATATTTAAATCTCATAACAAATGAAATACTTTCCTATATTGATTTTCCTGAAAATTCTTTATTTTCATATGTTATTGTTGTTCACATGTATTCTATTTATATTGCTAAAATTGAGATATAAGGAGAACCATTTTATTATTAGTGAAAATACAGAGTATTTTTTGAAAAAAATCAAAATTTTATGAGAAAATGTTTCAAAGGAGAGATGAACTCTTGTATCTTCATTTGTTTGTCTAACAAGGTCTAGCTTTTTTAAAATATAAAATAATTTCCCCTGTCCTCTCACCATCATATTCTACCAGCTAATAAACTACTGTTAAATTATGTAAATTTTTCAAGGTCTCAAGTAAGATGTCTTTGGAATTAATAGTTTAAAAACTAGGTATACTGTAGGTTCATATTCCATTTTGTCAAATCAATTGATAAAATTTTATTAAATTTTAAATATTTATTTCCATATATGTAAATTTAAATATGTACATTAGATATATAAATTAGCAGCTGCCTAGTTGTATGAAACAAATGAAATATGTTAATGAATAAATATTGTAATAAATAGTTGTTATAGTAATATAACAATTATTGGTTAAGGCATTAGGCAACATTTCTAGTCCCACTTAAATGCTGGCTGAATGATTTTGGGCCAGTCATTCTTTCTCTGCCCACATCAGACGGGCAACCAGCTGTTTGGTCAATTCCAAGTCCAGTCACAACAAATGGATCAACATTTAATACCAAAAAATAATAATAATAATGGATCTTGCACTTTGTGGGAAATTCTCAAAAAAAAAAGTAGTAATTCATTAGGTTGTTATATAAGATCTCCTGCCTACCTCTTAAGTTCCTTTATTGTGATTTCCCAATGTTACTTACCAGAATGTTCAGTAGATAGTAGTGTTAAAGCAGAAAGCTATTTTTTATTTTAATATTTTTTTCTTATCTACAAAATGTAATTTACACAGGCTCAGAAAACACAGAAGCCTTCCCAGAAGCCAGCTCCTGCTGTAGTGTCAGTAGCTCCAGCTGTGAAAGATCCACTAATAAAGAAACCAGAAATTAAGCTAAAATTGGAGACTACACCAGCTTTTCTAGCATTTAAGAGGACAGAGGTCAAGGTACTGTGCAGAGTGTACTGTGAAATATTGATAGATTGATTGAATGTATGTGTGTTTTTAGTTTAATTTTGTTTTGTTTTTCTAATGAGGAGTGTTTTGTTTTGGTAATGTTCCTAACCTCCACTCTCACTTAGAATTCCACATTAAATATTTTTATCCTTAATTTTGTTCCATTTTGTTACTGATTTTGAATAAATAACATAATTTAAGTAACATTAGCAGTAAAATTACATTTAATAAGATTTTGTATTTCAATTTAAAAACAGAATGCTGCAGGTTATTTTCAGAAATACCTATATTTATTTCTAGGTTTAGATAGGATATAATAGTAATGTTATCTCTGTAAGATTGCAATTGTTCTTTCTTTGCATTCAGCTTAAAGAAAGCTACTGTAGTAGGATGTTTATTTATAGGGGAAATCACATTTTTACACCTAAAAGTTGGATAAAGTAAAATAGGTTTTAACAAAAATGTTAAAATATTATGATTCTCTTTTAGTGCAGTATTAGTTACAGATGAAGGAAAGCAAAGATTACAAAAGGAAATAACCAACAAAGTTTGTGCTAAAGTTACAAGTCGTTCTTGATTTAAGACCTTTTAATGACTGTTTGAAGTTATGACAGCCTTTGAAAAAGTGACTTACGGCCTATCCTTCAAATTCCAACCATAGCACCACCCCTATGAGACAAGCAAAGTCAAATGGAGGAACTGGATTTGTTTAATAACCACATGATTCACTTAATGACAATGAAAAATCAGATCCAGTTGCGATAACTCAGTTAATGACTGTATCACTTAGCTACTGAAATTCCACTCCCAGTTGTGATTGTAAATCAAGGATTTGCCTCTGTATTTGCCTCTGCTATTGCAATTTAGAAAGCTTCTAGACAAATTCCAGGGCCATGGTAGTTAAGTTTCTTGAAAGTTTGGAAATATCACTGGCCTTGACTACCAGCCACAAAAAATACAGAACCAAAATGAATGTGTGTTACTTTAGGTGGAAAAAAAAAGGATAGTATTTTAAACCAATCAATATGCAGGACGTATGGTTGAATTTTGTAGGAGTTCTTTTATATTTGTAATAGATAAGAAAATTCTGAATCAGTTTGGCAGGATTCTGCCCTTCTCATCAAAATTAAAAAGCGCAATCCATCTTTTCATCCTGTGTCATTTAGAAAACGCTTCATGCAGTCCTAACAATTTTAATGAGACTTGTACAGCACCATTTGTGGTTGACTGTATCAAACAATTGGAGATAACTGTGATGGAACCCTATACATGTACTACGGAAACCTATGTACTATGGTAACTTATACATGTACTATTAATGTGCCCTATTACATCTAAATGCTTAAAGCATTGCTAATTTTGTCCTAATAACTAAAAATTATATTCCTTAGATCCACCATTTTTCATATTAAAAATAATTTTTGATTTATAAAAAGGTATGGATCCAGCAAGTTTTCTTACTTGAATAATTCTGAGATTTTTGGCATATAAAGATGGATCATTGAGCTACTGTATATTGTACATACAAGAAAAAAGTTGAAGCTATGGTTATGGTTGGCCTGGAACATTGCAAAGCTTCTTTTTGTATTCTGAGACAGAATAAATATAAGAGTCCACTGAGGTTTTCATCTAATAATGATAGGAAGGTAAATGCTTGGCCCTTTTGCTTTGCATGCTTATCTCTGCTGAATTGCATGTAAGGTAACACTTGTTTCTGTCTGATTTTAGACTTCGGCAACAATGTCAGGGAACTCAACCACCACCAACGTTTCCTCCTCCTCAAACAGTGGCCTTACAGGATGGGCAGCTTTTGCAAAGACATCTTCTGCAGGCCCGTCAACAGCTAAGATGGGGTCTGCCACCCAGAGTACCAGTGGCAAGCCTGTCACTGGCTCAAACAATCAGAAACCCACTGGTTTGTCAGGGCTGGCCACAACCAAAGGAGTAGGGTCAAAGATAACATCTGCCGGTAGCACAAACCCTAGCCAGTTGAAGCCATTACCACCTCTGACATTGGGGAAAGTTGGTCTCTCTCGGTCTGTGAGCAGTGACAACGTAAGCAAAATAGGCCTTCCTAATGCAGGCAGTTCAACCCCAGGCAACAGCCAAACTATTGGTGGAAATGGCAGCAGTGTGGCAGCAGGGAGCAGTGCTAGCAAATCAAGTACAGAATCGGGCAATCAGTCCCCATCGCTGAAAGGTCCAACTTCACAAGAATCACAGCTTAATGCTATGAAGAGGTTACAGATGGTCAAAAAGAAAGCAGCTCAGAAGAAGCTCAAAAAATAACAGGTCTATTTTTAAAACAATAGATAATGATATCATTAGTTCTAGTCTGCAAAGTGCAAACATGTTGTTCAACTCTACCAGATAACTGTAAAATCAATGATCTATAAATTACTGTTGTGTTTTCATTTGGCATCCTTGTGTGTATTCACAAGAATTAATATATTAGTAAAAAGTCCTTTTAGTTAGCTGCCTTATTCGTACCTTTCTCATTAAATTAGAGCTACAAAAATCCAGATTACTACTAGATGGTAGTAATTAGAGTTCGTAGTCTATGAACCATAGTTCTAATTAAATACAGTTATTAAATACAATTTAACAATATTTGTTCTTTTAAAATATATTTGATGCTTTACTCTTCTCCAAATATAAACCTAAAAACCATTATGAATTCTAAGAAATTTGTATATTTGTATATGTTGCCCGGGGGGGGGGGGCATCCTTTACAATGGTGATACATTCAGCCCTATTTGCCATTTCTAGTGGAATAAACAAGGTTGTGTGTGTCAGTCCCAGTCCTACTCAATCTGTTCTTCATTTGATGTTGTCACTTGCTGTCTAGGTTCTGAAGGAGGGAATGTATGTATATCAGGTACGAGTTGCAAAACTCTTTTTGACCTACGCCACTTGAATGCAAACAGTGACTCCATAGAGTCATTCAAGGAACCCTCTTTACTGATGATTGTACACTCCTGTTGCACAAGGACAGTGAACCTGAACAAATTCTCAGATGCTGTTTTGGCCTGATTATCAGCCTGAGAAACACTGAAATACTTATCAGCCTATGCCAAATCCCAAGACCATAGAATCACTGTTGATAGCACCTAGCTGACAAATGTAAACAGCTTCAAATATATTTTGGAAGCATCATCTCGAGTGAAGGGTCTTTGGACAAAGAAATTGAAGTCAGGATCAGCAGAGCAAGCCAAGCACTAGGGTGGCGGATACCAGAGTGCTCCATCAACACAACATCCATCTCTCCAGAAAGCTGGCATTTCACATGTGTGCTCATCCTCAACATTTGCTGGCTAAGACCATGTCTTATTTTACATTTTATAGCCTATCTTTTAAGTTACACATCTTTCCAAAGAATATCTCGCATATATGCTGTATATGCAATCTCAATACCAAAATCTTGTCTCCCTTTTCTTTTGTGCTCTATAGAAGTCAGGTAAGCTGATGTTTTCAATCTATTTGAAATTTAAGCTTTAGCCAACATTACCAATTGTAATTTTGGAAATTTATCCAAAATAGTTTACCAACTCTTGGTATTATGATACAAAATTTCACTTTACACTATTTTTAGCCACTTGCACAACTCGGGTACTTCTGGAAGGCAGATCCATGTTAATAATTTTATATGTAAAATATGTAAAATATCTTCAAGGAAGTGATTCTATTCATAAAAATAAAAGATTGGTCAAGGTAGGAGTACCCAATTTGGAGGCTACTTCACTCAACTGCATCAGTTGCAATAAGTGACAAAGCAGAAGTAAAGCAATATCTTCTGGCTTTCTTGCTGTTTCTTCATAGAAAGACAGGAAACATTTAGAACTTTGGAGTGATGTTTATGGTAAAAGAAAAGTCAGTGCTGCAAGCATTTTATTATGGTAGTCACAAAATTGAGAAGAAAAAAAAAGCTTATGCACCACATAAATAAGGTATCGATGTCTGTTGGTCTGAAAAATCAGAGAAAACAATAGAAAGATCAATTATTTGTGGAGTATTTGCCACCTTATATGAGGGATCACTGAAAAAAGGTTTATTGCTGAAGCTCTCAACCTAGCAATGAAATATAAAGGAATGAATGAATATATATCCCAGTTCAATGTTGCAAGAACCAATCTGATTCAGTAATTGGGACCAGAGATTTAGTTTTCCAAGCTTTCAGCCTCGTGTTGGAGGCCGAGACTGATTCTAAAGACCATTTGTAAACTATCCTTAGAGGATTGATCCTAGAGACTGTTTATAAATAGCTTCTTGAACTTACTGACATATACTTCATTAGTTTTAGATACACAGGAAATAACAATAGATTTAGTGATTTCTGTCTTTTTATTTTTTAAATGATTTGGAAATTGCTAGGAGGATATCATCATGAATCAAGGCAAATATATGTGACCGTGCTGTCCCGCTCACTCACTCACACGTAGCTGGTTTAGTTAGTTTATTAATATTCCCCAGCAATTCCCATTATCAAAAACTCAGAACTGTCACAGTTAGATCCAGCCACAAGCAGACCAATTGTGATGCCTGCCTCACTTTCGCCATGGAGCAATGGCCAAAGAGTATACAAGGCACTTGGAAGTTTCTCAATCATCGTAACCAGGCAAATTTAAATACACAACAAAAGAGGTTACAAGGCAGGGAAAGTTGACAGTTTCCAAGGCCAAGTCAAGGCATGGTGTCAAACCAAAGTGAGGCAGGCATCACAATGACCGCAAAACACACAGCTAGGAAACAAACATTCCCAGCATCGCCTGTGCAGTGCATCTAGCTGATCTTTCTGCTCCTGCCTTTTCTGTGCCCTATGTGTCCTTGGATCAGGTCCAGAAGGCATTTCCTCTTCCTCATCACTGACCAGCTGCAGCTGCATGCTTTCCCCACCTGGAGGAAGCCTCAGGATTGTTCTGTTGCAGCTGTGCTTCAGCCAAATCCCTCACAGACAACTGCTCAGAGCCATCAATCAACTCAGCTCCTGGCGTGCCAGGAATGGTTCATCCTCCCCCAAGCGGACATCTAGAGAGGTATTTGGGAAAGCATCTGGGGGAGTCATCACGGTGTCCCAGGATAATGTTGCAGGAGCCAAGCTGAGTCGGTCACCAGAACCAGAAGTTTTGTCTTCTGATGTTTTGGACTCATGCTGGAGCCCAACCTCAGGGAACTTCTCTTTGACAGTCCGAAGGCTCAGAAAAAAAACCTCTGGTCCTGGTGACTGACCCAATCATTTATGATATCTGGATATCATTTATGTGTATATTCTATTAATTCAGGAGTGCACATAAATTTTGCTTTTCAAATAACCTCATGGTTTGGGGCATACAATATTATATTAATTCAGACATCTGGTTTAAAGAGAATACTGAGATTTCATTCTAATGACTGCCTTGATCTGGTGCTCCAGAACTTTGGTTCCCGGAGCATGTAAGTTTGCTTCTATCCTGTTACTTGCTCTTGTCCTCTGTGCATTGCAGAATATGTAAACACAGTATAATCCTATAGATGCTTCATTGGAAGCGAGCACTGCTAAATACAGTGGGATTTATCCAGTGGTGGGTTCTGGATCCTGTTCCAACTGGTACGGCCCGGTGTTGCCCACATGGATGTGCGTGGCGCACGCATGTGTCGTACCTGCCTGCAACCCCTCTGCGACACTCCAGCTGCTCGGCAGAGCATCATGCAGGTGCCATATGTGCCATGCACATGCACGGAAGCACCAAAGGCTTAAAAGACAGGTAAGGAGCTCGGCCGGGCGGGTGGGCCCTCTGGAGCACGGTACCGGAACGGTGTCCGGTGCTCTGGGCAGGCTCCGGTACGCCGGTACCAGGGCGTACCACCTGCAACCCACCACTGGATTTATCCTTAAAAAACAGTTCTGAAACAAGAAATGGCTCCCATTAGAATTGATAGAGCATAATTCCTGGTGAGTGTATACAAAACTGCATTTATCTCTCCACTGAGGCTAACCGCTGTCACTTAAAATACGTTTCAGGAAGCATTTTCATCAGAATTACAGTTCTGAGATTACAGTTCTTAATCTGAGATTAAGAACTAATATTCTATTGAAAGATCAGCAAAAAGTGCATTCAGTTCTTGAAATCTTTATAAGCTTGGATCTAGACATGTCTTACATAACCAAAAACGCACTTCCATGTGCAAGTAATCTCCGGTGAATTTTCTCAACTCCTCTGTACCACTTCAGTTCCTTATTCCTGAGTCTAAACTGTTTTTAAGAGTATTTAGAAACCTGAGAACATTCTTGGACGATATAGGGTTCTCCTTGCCCATCTTTGATTCATTCACAAATCTACAAAAGTCAAACTCTGAATTTTATAGCTGGCATAGTTGGATTACTTGTATTAGGCTTTTGCAACCAAGATCAACAAGACATGTTGTGGCCCCCAAGGGACCAACTAGATTATTATGTCATGAGATCTTTGTCGTGTTTGTCGCGATCCCCAACCTTTGCGGCTTGGGGGGGGGAAGGAAACTGGGTCACACAAGCAGTGGCCTAACATGCACACACAGCTCAACTTACATGAGCAATGTGCTGGCACACAGGTGCACATGCACAACTCTACTTGCACAATTGAGCGTTCGCAAGGCTCGGTTTCAAATAGACCATGGCCCGGAGGTTGGGGACCCCTGGTTCAGCAGATTAGTTCAATATCATTAAATGTCTCAGAAATCTGTGGAAGGCGTTACAAGAGTTCTTGTTCAGTCCAGTGTGACAAAAGTTTAAAAGCGAGTATACGCATTCTATCAAAAACTCTTCTTCACAAGTACTTCAATTCCGGTTTTTAGAAGCTCTTAGCTTATTGCATTTTTTAAGGCACAGAAATTCACGGGTGAAAATATCGCAATAAAAGTCTTCTGGCTTTCTGAATTTATTCCGTAAACTAAATCTGGTATTTACGTGTATGTCATCTTCCCAAGATAATTAGCTGGTACGTATCCTTTTTGTCCTTCGGCTTCAGCTAACCACCATTCTTTATTGCCACTCAGGTCCGAAAAACAAAGGATTTGAACTCGCTGATATTCGTGAAGACTGAGTTCCTGCTTACTCCTTGCTTGAAATGCATGAACAGCATAGAAAGTCTAAGAGATAGGAAACATAAGAGAGAGAGAGAGAGGGAGGGAGAAAGAGAGAGAGAGAGAGAGAGAGAGAGAGAGAGAGAGAGAATTAATGAATGTTCAATCGACCAAATCAGCTCAGCTAATGAAGCATCTTGCTTGCTTCATTACATATCTGGCATCAGATTTGGAATAATGTTTTTGTGTAATGTCACTAATATTAGGCCCAAAATCCCTAAATTTATAAACTGTATTCTTATTCCCAATGAGATAAGTTTGAAGCCATAAAACAGTGGCATATTAAAGTTACCTCCTGGGTCTTTGAATGTTTTTCTTGATTATCACTGAAAACCCTAAAATATGACATGCTCTAACTTAAAATAATTTTGCAGCAGTATAGTATCCGCTCCAGATTTGGGGAAAAAACAAGACCTAGACCACATGTTTTAAGACCACATGCACAGAGTGGAACCCACCCCACTGTATATCGAGGGGGGCTGTGTGGAGAGGGTTCCCTCTTTTAAATTCTTGGGAGTGCTTATTAGTCAAGTTCTCATGTAGAAAGCCAATACATCCCTGGTGATTGGCAACAGAGACTTCATTTCCTTAGAGTCCTGCAAAAAAATCAGGTGAAACAATGGCGGATGGCCTCTTTTTATCGGTCCACCATAGAAAATGTCCTCACATATTGCATTATACGTATGGTACACTGGTTTAACTGCTGCGGGCAGGAAGGCATTACAGAGTGATCAATTCGGCACAAGAAACCATTGGTTGGCCTCTAATACCACTGGATGACATCGCCAGATCTCGCTGCTTTACCAGAGTAAGGAAGATACTCAGAGATTATTCATACCCTGGTCAGTGTGTCTTCGCACTTCTACTATTGGGCAGAAGACAAGCATACGGAGCCGAACAAATAGGTTTAAAAATAGTTTCTATCCTTGGGCTGTCAGATTCTTAAACACAACCACAATCACTCCACGCACACGTGGAAACATATGACTAGTTTTTCTTTTTCTTTCTTCTTTTCCCCTAATTACTTGCATTTTATTCTTTATATTTTTTACTATGTTGTTTGTATTTGTTGTCATGGATTGCACCAGTGGGCTAAAACCCATTCTTTCTTCTCTGAGATCAGACTATACAAAAAAGAATTGGCAAGATTAGTAGATGCTGCAATTCATTTATCTGGAGAAGAAAAATGAATGGGCAGCTACAGTTAAAAAGTGGTGGGCAGCAACTACATTCATCCCTGAATTCATCCCCTCTCCTTTTTTTAAATAAAAGGACTGGTTATGAAATCATGCTTACCTGTTGCTCATCTGTTTCATAAAAGCTCTCCAATTCTGAGCTATTCGCAGATTCTTTTTCACAAAGGCTATTATAGGAAGAGTCACTGCCACTTCTTTTGTGTCCTGTGGGTTTTGTAATGTTGTCATCCAGTGATCGTGAAGAGACAAAAAGGCTGATGTTATCAAAGTCACCATCACAGAAATCGTTTTCCCCAGGATTTTTTTGTGCCTTGGCTGGTTTATAGGGTTTCAGGAAGGAAGAATAAACGTATCCTTTTAGAACTATACGTAGGGAAGAGAAGAAGAAAAAGGCCAAGAGTATCAAAACGTTGGGTTTTTTATTTTATTGTAAGAACCTTAAATTATTGCAAGTTAAAAGGAGAAACAGAGATATTGCAATCTGAAAACCAAGTGAAAGTTGAAGGAGTCATGAAAATGCTTTAAAACATTGCAAACTAAACAATCTAATTAACATTATACTATCAATTGTGTTTTGTTCTGTTTTGGCAAGTCAGGTTTCAGGTTTCGTTTTATTTATATGCCGCCCTATTCCTGGCGGGACTCAGGGCGGCGCACAAACCCAAGGGGGAAAGGGAAACACAAAAAGTACAAATACAAGTATTTAAAAATAGCCAACAACCACACAGATCGAGAGGGGAAGGGAACCCATCAACCCCAGGCCTGCCGACACAGCCAGGTTTTAACGGCTTTTCGGAAGGCCTGGAGAGAGGTGA